AGAGCGTCCATGTTTGATGTCAGACCTTACTTTCACTGTCTTTACATTGACTTGCTGAGCAGACCTTACAAGTGCAAGTTCCGCGACAAACTGGACATGCCTTCTTAACTTCATTTTGAGTGTCACAATACCTAAATTTGTTCCGAAAAATATTGACAAATGTCTCATGATATGAATAAAATGTGATTCTCAATTCAAAAGGAACAACAGGCAACAGAAATTATATTGGTAAACATCTTAGCACTAATCATTATTGATCCATCTGCTATTATTATTTCTAAAAACTAGTAAAAATAGATAATATGCTTGAAATGTGGAAATCATTTTTTCTTTTTAAAATTTTAATTATTCTTATTAAACACTGTTGATAACAATAAACATTTCACACATCTCTATTAACCACATCAAAAGGGGCATCCTTACTAGCGTGTTTGGACACATGTCTAATACACACAGATAATCGCACCAATTTTCTTGAAATGTAGAGGAAGCTGTATTTGTCACTTCTGGGCTATGCGCATATAACATTCAAGATTGACACGGAAACAAACACCCTATTCATCTAAGCAGAAGGTGTGGCTTATGAGAAGAGGTGTTCAATTAACCAAACCATGCCTTTTAAATTCAAGCTTCTGCATTGCCCCAAAAAATTAACCCCAGGAACAGCCTTAAAGAATCAAAATCAATATTTCTTCAATCGTGAACAAATACTCTATAATGCACATAAAAAAACACCTCACAGATAACATCAAACTATGAAACAAGAGCAAACAGACACAGATAACATCACAAAGGTTTATCATTCTCATGCTCAAAATTGGGAAAGCGAACTGAATTCAACAATAACAAACCGCTCTATAATGCAGTTCATGCAGAAAAACTCCCTCTGACAGCTCGAACACTGGATGAGGTTACCAGACTCACTTCTCTGACACCAATGGCACTTCTTCCTCTTACCCTGACCCTTGGTCAAATTTGACCCGTACGGCACAATCTAAACAAAAGCAGAGTTAAAGAATTAAAACCTCACAAATACAAAAAGATATGTCACAATCTAATGCTGTGCTGAACTCACCTGCAACTTCCCCACAGGGACCCTATCAACATTCTTGGACCTAAAGTAACGAGGAGTAACAGTTCTGCAATCAACACCCACTTTAACATCACAATGAGAACCCACATTGTTGTAATCACGATTCGGCGAAGCCGGAGAGATTTCCATTACACCATTGGGCAATTCCCTCCTCAGCTCTCCTTCACCGTAGCACAATTCCTCTTCCTCTTCCTTTTTCTTCTTCTTAACCTTCTTCTTCTTCTTCTTCTTGCTCTTGCTTTTGTTCTTCTTCTCAGCTTCTCTCTTGAGAACCATCCTCAAAAGCTCCAACTGCACATCGCCTTGCTTCAACTCCTTCTTCTTCCTGGCGGCGGAGGAAGCGGCAACGACCAACGCGTCGGAACCCTCGGAAAGCTTGCGCTTCTTCTTCACGATTCTCGAGGTTCTCCGTACCCTAGATTCGGCATTGTCGAGAGCGTTAGGCTCCTCGCTCGGTTTTCTCTTCCGGTGAAGCTTCAGGGACTCGGGAACCTTCTCCTTGAACTGGCGATGGCGACCTTGGAGGTAGTGAATCTCGCAGAGCTTCAGACTGTCCTTCACTCGCCGCCGGCACCGCCATTGGCGCCCGTCGGTGCGGCCGCAGCGGAGATGGTCCGGCAGAGGCTCCTGCGCTTCCTCCTCCTTGGGTCTCTTCGCCATTGAATTTTGATTTTCCGAGAGAATTGGGATTTTTTTTTTAACCTAGGCGCGCAGAGAACCCGTGTTTTGTTCTCTGCAGCGAGCGAGCGCAGAGGAGAAGGGGAAAAAAAAAGGGTTTTTCTGTTTTCCAGGCCCAAAGAGTGTTATTTATTGGGAAGAAAAAAACAGTGAGAATGAATGGCATTGGCATTGGCATTGGCAATGGCATATTCCCGTAATTATTGGCAACTGCACAGTCCTGTTTGGTCTCTTAATCTTCAACGTTGGGATCATTGATTGTATCAGCGGAGATCGAGACTAATCGAAATCTTCTGATCTTATCATAGATATCCAAAGTATTTCTGTCAAATGCTGCAGGGTATTCAAAAAAAAAATAATTATTATCTCATTTTTATCTTATTTTTTCTTCTTGGTTTTTTTGTAACCAGTTTTTGCTTCCAAATTATGTAACTGATCTTTGGGGTATTGGAATTGGGATTTTTTTGGGCATATTTGCATGTTTTTGAGTTACTTGGGCTGAAATCAACCGCATTTGTATTAATGATAGTGTCATGATGTGTTGCATTTGGCTTTTGATCAAGCAATTTGGATGTATGTTGTGTGCATGAATTCATGACTGAGCAATGCTGTCACCAATGTCATTTGTTTGGCTTGTAGCAGCCTTTGATGTTTGCCTTTGTTCTGTAGTGTCTTTCATATGCTAATCCTGTCCAATCTCCTCCAGGGTATTTAGTTTTTTACTACATAAGATCAGTTTAGAAGTATGCTTTATTGTTTTACGTTAATTTGTGTTATACTTGTCAGTTGAAAATCACTTCTTTAAAAAAGAGACAGAAAAAAATCAGCAACAATTTTCCATTCAACCTTTTCCTTTTAATATTTTAGTTTTGAGTGACAAGAATTTAGAAATCATAAATATTCCAGCAATCCATCAACTAGAACCTTTATTTTTTCCAAAATTAACCTATGGTCTTGTGATATAGTTATCTTACTATAGAGCACAAAAATCAACTTATAAAAGATTATTATAACTTAACACGTGAATTAAGTGATAAAAGATTGTTTCAATTTAATAAGAAATTAAAAGATTGTTTCAATTTAACAAGAAGTTATTATAATGATAATATAAAGTTATAATCTAAAACTTTTGTTTATATCATTCTAACTTTTTACTATTAAGATTATTTCTATTCGATTCAAGCCATATTTTATCGGTTGAAATAATCTTATTTGATTTAAGCATGCTTGTTTCAATATACGTAATTCACACCAAAAAAAAAAATCAGAAAAACGATTAGGCTTTACATTTTTTTCCTCATGCAGTAGATTAGCTTACTTTGTTGTAGTTTAGTGGTGTAATTAGAGCACTAAGAAAGAGTACTTCTTTTGGGCTGCAAATTAATTAACTGTTAGTTTGATAAAGGTATAAAGCCCAGTTATCTTGTATCTACATTGAATTAAAGTATTGGTCACACAGTTGAATGCAGATAGAGTACTATCACGCTGCTGCACATATCTGATGTAAAGAGAATCTTTCACGATGGAATATTGACACATACCAATTTGAGTTGTTTGTTTGTCAATTGTTGTTAAGCTTTTGATTCCATATAAATCAAAGAGTATGAACAACATGCAAACTAATAATATTTGCATTGCAGTTGTATTCCAAAAAAGTTTAATTGCTTCAAATATTTATTAGGCTATACAATTTATACTATATGAAAACTTCTTAAAAAGTTTTTGGAAAAGCAACGAAAGTCATGTTGCATTGTTGCCTCAATATGGAATATGACATAAATACTTCTGCAATTGCCACTGCATTAAATTTAAAGGCGGTAACTTTTTTTTTATTAAAAATAATAACCTCCTTTGAGTACAGCTACCATATCAGAAAGCTTTTTCAAGTACCCGAGTTCTTTTCAGTAAGTCTTAACCATGGCTAGGTCAGAGGTTAGAAAATAGTGTGGGACTACCATGGCACTTGGTCACAGGTTGGATCATGCAAAGGACTTGCAACAATGTTGAGAGTTGCCCAAACAAAAACTATGGAACCTTTGGCACTAATATCACATTAAATATTAAATACTTGGGTCCATGCCAATTGAAATATAAGTTTGTTGTTATTATTAACTTTGATGTTGAATAAGAGAACTTTAGGCTATGTTTTTATTGTAAGCTCGACACACTTGGAGTTGGGTCAAATAAGTATTTTGAATAGAATTTGATTCCTAAACAATGTTTTATTTTTATTAGGAGGTACAAAAATCACATTACTTATTTATATAAAATTTAAGTAGTTTGTATAAAATTTTAGTAAGATCAACTTGTTCAATTCATTTTTTTTCAAAAAAGATTGAAAGTGTTATTAACTAATTAGTCTATTTGAACCCATACTATTTTAACCTATCAACAAACATGCTCGTAGTATAAGATAGCCTATGTGACTTACAATTTTTCTTTAGTATTGTAAAAATATGTAGAATTTCAAATTTATGTTTCATTTTTGTATGAAAACGATGAATGTTTAGGACTCGTCATTTTAAGTTAGAAAATTATTTTCTTTAATGTTTTTTACTTTTTATATTTTTTTCTTATTTTTAAACTTTTGGCATATCAACCTATTAGTCCACTGAGTTCATCTATAAACGGAACACACTAGTTCATTTTTCCATCCCTATTTCTAAGTTTATTTTCTTATAGCTATATTGTTCAAAAAATGCAAAATTTATATAATTTATTTTTACACTTACAAAGGAATTAGGTGTCTCTGTGTGTTACGGTCAAGTGAACAATTAATACAGAAAAGTAGATGAACTTGTTGGTGAACCTCATTGACATTAAACAAGCATACAAAAATTCAAGAGAGAAATTTAAAAAAAAAATTGGTTTTACATTTCATGATCTTGAGACTCTCAACTGCAATTCACTGAAAAAGTGCACTTTTGGCAACAAATTGGATGACCCGTTAACCATTTATTTTTGTCTGCACTGCTGGATGGCATAATGTTTTTGATAAATCATGGGATACCATCAACTTTGGATTTCTCATCTCTTTTCTTCAGAGTTCATCCTATATTATGTGTGCTGGGAAACAAAAGAACAGAAATTGTTCCTCTATTCTGATCATAAGAAATCTACAATCCAATTCAAGAGACAGTGTCAATAAATTGTCATCGACATGACATGATGATTCATTCCTGAATTTTTGCAATTACAATACCTGAGAATAATGGAAAATGTTAATCATGCACTCTATTTTTGAGCTGTAAGAAAGGTGACAATAAGGCCTTAGTTCCTGAAATAAAAATGGCTAAAATTTTGTGAAAATAGGAAAAAGAAATAGATAAATGGATGCCAAATTTGATATGTGCCCGATAACTAAAAATCCTAAAAATCAAGAAAAGGATGAAAGTAATATAAAGAAGCACAACCTGTCTTGCTTATTTGGATGCTTTTCACTTCTCTCAATCCCATATTGCCAGAAAAACATGATTGAGTGCAGCATTGATGACACTAACACCATGAAACATCTTCCTGAGAGACACAAGTGAGAGAGAATCTTCATCAACGCTGCACTCAATGATGTTTCTCTAATATGGGGAGTTTCCAAAACTATAGGAGATCCATTTCAAGTATTACAAATTCCTTTGTCATTGCATTTGTATCTATATATATTATGATACGAATATCGTTGGTAATTAAAACTTTCATAGAGAATGTTCAATGTAGTACACCAACCATTCGTTCGTACTTCCATTTGATTACTAATTGACTAGTAGTTAACCATTAATTGCTCTTTTATCTATCATTATCTGCTAAATATTTGCCAATTTAGCCATCATTGGAAATTATTGTACTGGTCAATTGTACTACAATGAAATCTTGTACTGCATGACATTATTTAGTATATCTTCTATTAATTCTATTTTGGTTAATAGTTATATATTATTTTTCAATTCTCATTCCCCACATCTTGTTGCAAGTCTGCGTATTAATGAGTTCAAGGTAATAGAGCATTGCACGTTTAAAAATTAAAAAACAAGAGACCCTTGACTATCATTTTCTTGATATGTATGAATAGAAAAATCAAAGGATTATAATTGTGGTTTTTTTTTTAATATTAACAATAATTTGTAGTTCTTTATGGCATTTTTTGACAATTCCAAATTTATCGCGAAGTATGGCTGGTTGATCAATGATCAGTGTAGAAATTTCGTATGCATGTGAAAAATGTCATCCAGCAACCTAGAAAGGAGATAACGAGCCTTTCATAATGAAATACAATTATGCAGACAAAAAAAAAACTGAAATATATTTCCACTATAGATTGTTTATGGTCTTTTCTAAATTTCAAAGATTAAGATTTTTTTTAAAAATAATTTTAGAGTCTAAAACAATAAATGATTATACTTTAATTTATGTATATCATAAATTATATTAATATAATTTTATTTTTTAATATATTTTATGAACTTATTTTTACAAAAATATCAATTAAATAACAATATTATTAATATATATGTATAAAAGGAATATTAACAGTGTTGAATGCTATATTAATTAGTATTTTTCAAGTCTAATTTACTAATATATATATATATATATATATATATATTAGTATCATTTTCTATATATTATATTAATATACATTTAATTTTTTTTAAACATAATTTGTAAATTATTTTTTATAAAATATAAATTAAATAATAAATTGTGTCATCCTAATAAGAAAACAATTATTTATTAATATATTTGTATAAGGCATTAAATGCTACATTAATGAAATATTTATACAAATATTTCAAAGAAGTAGATTTTTTTTATAACGTATAATACAATTTTTTGTAAATTAATTAATTTTTTGAAAATTTTATTTACAAAAATATTATAAGTATGTTATTAACTTCAAAGGTATAAATAGAAAAATAGAAAATGACTTTATAATTTTCAATTTCATAAAATTTAGAGAGATAAATAAGACAAAATAATTATAGAAGTTCAAGATTAAACATTTACTTCTGATCATCCCACAAGTTTGGGATCCTTTCCCGAGTTAGAGATTGAAGTCTAAGTAGTTGAAAGAAGATTATGTGAGTTTGAGTTTCAGATCATAAAGATTGAAGCTAAGAAAGTTGATAAATATCAAATATGTATATATATATATATATATATATG